ATTCGCTGTGTGTGTGTATTCCTAGTTTACTGTGTCGTCCTTGGAAATGAACAGGAAGGTAAGGCAGCACTATATTTTGATACTCCTTCCGTGGTGCTTCCACTAATTATCTCATATTGTCATAGCTTGTTATCTTAAGGATTTCTTTCCTCATGATCTGAGCACTGGTCAAGTTGACTTATGAGACGCCATACGTATTCCTTGTTTCCACCTCCATTAAATATACTTATTGTTATATTACAGCATCGCCGACAGCATGCTGTAATGAATCATTTCAGACTTGGAACTTGCCATTTAAACAACATATTCGTGAGATTGGTTTGTTTCCCTTTTGTGTTCATTACAAAGCCACTTTGGAAACTACCGAACAAGTGTTCCTTCACTGTCCTACTTATATAGTGGTATGCGAATCTTCCAAGTAGTTTATGACAGTTGAAAGTGCCTTTTACATTACAATGTTTACTAGGCAGAAGTTCAGTATTTTGTATAAGTCATCTGGTATTACAAGTGCTGTTTTTCATTTTCTCAGGACATCTTCACTAATTTTGATCACTGATTACAATTTTTTTCTTTCAGTTTTTAATAATATTCCTTTTTTGCTTGCACTCACAAATGTCGTACTTTGGTATGGATACATCCATATTTGATTTTAAAACACCATAAAACAACAAACCAACTAAGCCACATTAAGATGAACTCGATGAAAATTTGAAAGCTTATGCGCTAGATAAAGAATATAGTTGTAAGTGGTTGTTTTAATGTTCATTTTTGTGTTTCGTTTTGGTTTTTCGTGTGTCTAGTAATCCGAAAAGGGAGGTTTTACCTTGGTTGATGCCAACTTAATTTATTTTATGTGTGTAATATTAAGTAACAAAGTTTAGGAGGAGTTTCCATTAATTTATGTAACAAGTATTTTTAGAATAAAACGCATTTCAGAGGCTACACAACATCAAGAAAGACCAACTTTAGGTGGCCGAAAGTCAGTGTATTATTCTCCACATTTAAATAGTTGATATTAAAGAGAATTTTGATACTGTTTTGCAAATGTGAGTTGTTTTAAGATTTTTAGTTAGTTATAGTTTCTGATATTGGGTTACAGTATAGTTCATTTCTTATAACACTTATATAGTTTGAAAATGAGTATAACATTTTAATTGACTGCCCTTTTTTGTACGATCTTCATTCCAATTAGCTATTTTAGTTAAATGGTAGACCGCCTTCTAGAGTAAATTTAAATTACTAAACTAGTTTGTTGAATTTAAGGAAACTGCTCGAGAGCTATATACATTAGCCGCCCATAATGTAGAAATGATAGACTATACGAGAGCAATGTGCATTAGACATTTCCTCTTGGCTACATTTGGGGGAAAACGGACCTTGTCTAGGCTTCTTCCGCGCACTCCAGGGGGCGCCAACACACCTGGTTGGAACCCCTGGACTAGAAGAAAGACAATTATTCAACGTCAGTCACGAGCATAATGATAGTTTTGAGATTTCGAATAGGGTAAAACGAATAGATAGTATGTATTTAGCAAATTGGACAAGAACACGAAGTATCAAAAGACTGGAATTAGTAAAAAAAGGCACTTGAATAAATTATCTAACTTAGTCAAACTTAGAACAGTTTGTATTCGGGTGAATGATAAATAATTATTTAAAACTATCAGAACACAAGTGATAGTAAAAGCTTTGATATCTTTCCTTAAGAATAATAAAAATTGAAAGCCACATAATGTAAATCAGGAAACACTTCATCAGTTAAAAATAAAAAAAGCCCCGTAAAAACAGTATAAAAATATGTACAAAAATATTTATTAAACTTAAAGAAACGAGAAAGAATATTATTCATTAACACCGATTGTATCTAATATTGGTACAGATGCATTACTTCTTGTGAACTATGTTAAGTTAGTCAGCATTAAGGAATTTACTATTATCAGAAAATTTTCAGTTTTCGAAAAAATTCAAATTATGAGAATAATGTTTGTTGTTCTAGCTTCGATAATGGATCATTATTCGCAAACATATCTTTGGATGAAGCATTTGATCTAGTTGTTAATTTTCTTTATAATAAGGAAAACCAAAATAGATTTTCTAAAGAAGTATTTAGAACGATATTGTATTCTGCTACAAAACAATCACACTATATTATTAATCAAGACATACGTGATCAGATGAACGGTGTTGCTATGAGATCTAACAACAGTACTGACGAATCTGTTCAAACCCTATCTAACAACAGTACTGACGAATCTGTTCAAACCCTATCTAACAACAGCATTGACGAATCTGTTCAAACCCTATCTAACAACAGTACTGACGAATCTGTTCAAACCCTATCTAACAACAGTACTGACGAATCTGTTCAAACCCTATCTAACAACAGTACTGACGAATCTGTTCAAACCCTATCTAACAACAGTACTGACGAATCTGTTCAAACCCTATCTAACAACAGTACTGACGAATCTGTTCAAACCCTATCTAACAACAGTACTGACGAATCTGTTCAAACCCTATCTAACAACAGTACTGACGAATCTGTTCAAACCCTATCTAACAACAGTACTGACGAATCTGTTCAAACCCTATTTAACAACAGCACTGACGAATCTGTTCAAATCCTATTTAACAACAGTACTGACGAATCTGTTCAAATCCTATTTAACAACAGTACTGACGAATCTGTTCAAATCCTATTTAACAACAGTACTGACGAATCTGTTCAAACCCTTGAACAGATGATTGTCAGAAATAATTCAAACATATTTATTTCAAAAGATACGTAGATGACACCTTTATGTCTTATGAACAAAACATGATGCTGTTATTGTTTTCTCAGTGCACAGATCGAAATAGGGATATAAACACTCTGTCCACCGTGGGAATATTGAATCACGAATTTTAACATTGTAAGTCCACAAATTTACTGTTGATCCACCGGAGGAAAACAGAACATCTAAAAATGTTTTAGATCATTCATGTGGCAAGAAAAAACAACAACAAAAAACATAATATTTACAGTACAATACCACAAAGTATATAAACTGATTTTTTTTGGTGTATTGGTTGAAAATAACAATGGGAATTGTAAAGTGTAACGTACCATAAAAAGACTTTAACAGGCTTATATTTTAAATACGACAGTTTTATTCCGGATTTATACAAGTTTAACTTAATTTAGAACTTTGTCCATATAGTTTATAAGATTAATAATACCTTTACTGTTTAGTAACATAATTTGGTAGCATCAAATGTTTTTTTTATAAAAAAATTACTTTCTACGTAAAATTATACACAAAATTAGTTTTATACGAGTAAGCAACATATATATATCCACAAATATAAATATTACAGTCAACAAACAGAAGATTTTAATTTTTTACTATATTTAAAAGCACAATCCTTCGAAATTAAATAATTCATCAAATATTTAGAAAGGCTAATCCACAAATTATGTTAATGTGTATCCTCAAACCTATACTTAGAATTAAAAATACTTCATTATTTTCAATGATGAATAATTTTGGTGTATTATCAATACAAGTGTCCAAAGTGTAATGCTAAGTATTTAGGCTGTATTTAGACCAAGAATCCAGAACTGGAAAGCACCCTGGTTGCAAGATCGATAAAGCAGTCAAGTATAGTGCAACATGCATTGAATGAGTGTGACGAACCATCAAATAAGAATTATTTTGAAATTACTGCTAATGATGAATTAGAGTCAAAGATTACGGTATTTTAATAAATGCATTTAAAATAACACTAAATGAATAGTACTACAGATCAATCTTTAATATTCTGGATGTCGTTGCTTGTAATTTTCGTTTTAATACACACTTTTTTCAAATAGCTTTCTCATTTCTGGGGAAAATTCTAACTGATTATACGAAGAATTCAACAAGCAACAGATACAGCTTTTCCTGTTGTCAGCTTCAGGAGAAACTTCTAACTGAGATAAGGTCCAAGTACGGGTCTTATTTGAGAGAGAAGAATGTAGTAGTTTGAGTTATTAAATAAATGCCTCACTAGCAATTGCTAGTAGGCTAACCCTTTAACTTAGTTCGTACAACACTCGTATTTGACGCGAGAAGTTTTGGACTTGGTAAGGACATAAGAAAAAAAAAAGAAGAAGAAAAATGGGACTGCCACAGAAAAACTGGCCCCCATAAAGCTGTGTCACGACCTGAGATAAGGCCTGAGAACTGGTCTTGTTTATGAGAAGGGGAGAATATGGTAGTTTAAAATGTTAAAAAGTACTAGTTGGTACAAGAATACTCGGTTGGCATACGAAAAATCTCGAGTACTGGTAATGCTGCATAGGAATTCCACAGTATTACGGTCAGGGCAGTGAACTGTTTAACCCTTAGGTTTGAATCTAAAAAGGTTGCTTGTTACGGGCAACGCTTTCGTAACCTGTTAAACCAATGTTTCAGGATTCAGTTCATAGTCAGTTATAGAAGGGGTAATAAAGATTAACATGGGTAGTCTCTAATATATAAAATAATGATTTTAAAATTACTATATGTAAATAATATACCTAATTACTATTTTTCAGACTTTTATATTTTAGGCCATTCGATAAAGTTACATTTAATACGGGGCTTTTAATCGAAATTAGGTGAGCTGTAGATACTCCAAAACCACAGTAGCACAAGTTTGGTGACGATTAACAAAAGATGTGCACTTTGGTAGCACATCAACAAAATTGTTAACAAATTTAACTTTTTAAAACTTGTTTCTTTTCGGATATACAGAGTATAATATCTAAGGTTACAATATTTCCATCTGGTGAAACATTGTAACCTTTGATATTATGCTTGAATATCTGAAAATAAAAAAGTTTTAAATTTTACATAAAAGGGTACTTCCTAATTATCTAATTACCTCTGTTTAACCTTAAAAGTTCTGATTTTTGGAAAAGAAATTTGTTTTTTCCTACTACTCAGTAAATGATTGAGAGTGAACTTAAAACTTCATATAAACAAGTGGAACATGTATATTTCTAGCACAGATAACTTTATTTTACGCAAAATTATTTTGAAAATAAAAGAATATACATAGCACTTTGTATTTTCACACATATACAATTTATTTGGGTGAAAAACAATTCTTTAAATACTTTTTTACGTTAAAATAAAATGTAATTAGAAATACACAATATTCAAAGAACTTACTAATGGTTAATTTTTTAAAGTTCTCACATGGTAACCAAAGGGCGCGAGTTGGTACTGTGGTAGAAATCTTTTATTTCGAAACTAGTGAAGTTGAGTTCAAAACATTGTTATACCACAATATATTATCAGCACTTTAAAACATTGTTGTACCACAGTATATTATCAGCACTTTAAAAACATTGTTATAACACAATATCTTATCACCACTTGAAGCCGTGAGTAACGTTAGTAGAGTTGCAGTCAACCCTTTAACGTGGGTTGTAGGGTGCTGCTGACTGGCTGCTTCCACTCTGGTCAACAGTTCAAAATTATAGACCGAGGCAGATAGCATAAGTAGCTTTGCCAAAAATATAAATACAGAATAATAATTTAAAAAAGATACAGGAAATCTGGTATGAAATACTAATTATATTACAATTTTGTGACTAGATAAGCATGCTCATTTGTGAATATAATGTTTTATCACATTTGAAGACATGGAAAAATTCAACTTTTAACATAAATAGTAATATTCTTACACAGCGCTACACTGGTCATGAATATCAAAAGAAATATTCTACAAACTGGAAGTTTGTCCAATCATTTATTTTCTCATTTTCTTATTGCTGACAGTGATGAAGCTTGTCTTATTTAGGTTGCAAACTGGATTCAGTCACAACTGTGGCCGAAATTCAACTGCACTCTGCTCTTTAAACAATGTGTTTTATCGACTGTCAACATTTCATTCACAGAGACTGTACTAATAATCTTAGCTAATACATATTATAATAAATGGCTTGACCACTCTATATCTGTCTGCCCTAACGCATATCCTCACTCACATCGACAAGTTAGGGAAAGTTACGTAAAATATATATTCTATCAGTATATTTTTTCAAGATGTCACAGTTGGTCTTATAAACTACATCAGATTCATCAGACCTAAATGCCGTTACCATTTAAAAGGAATATTTATTATTATTATTATATATAATATGTGTTCCGTCTTGGAATTGCTTTTCAAGAGATATGGCACATGACGTTTGCAGAGAGGTGATGAATTTTTCCGAGTATTTTTCTTTTGTTACACCAGCCTTTCAAAGTAGCTTCTAAAGACAGAAAGTAGCGGTTAGAATTTTAAAGAAAATAGTTAATTTGAGCAAATTCAACTATTTTTTTCTAGTAATTACAATCTTTGAAAACGAAAAGCCTAAAAATCTTTCTTCTCGCATTCATTAATGTACTTGAATAGTGTGGTCATTCAGTCTTCATAAATATTTCATGGGAAGATTCACTAGAAATTTCAATTAGTGTCAAGTACAGCCCGTAATCTTATTGATACTACATAAGTTGTTAGCTCAAAATTTTGGCCTTAACTCGACACTTTTTAATGTATTTTTTATTTACTTAATTGTGGCAAAACAGATAAAAGCAGATCTACAAATTTTAGGATGAAGTAAGGTTAGCTAGTGAAAATAATTCCAAGACTTTAGTGACAATGTTTTCCCACTTAAACTTACTATCATACTAACATCTTTTGCATAGCTTTAGGAAGTGTTTTGAAATAAAAAGAGCGAATGTTATTACATACAATAATCACTATTTTCCATGACTCCTGGTTTGCTACAAGAACCTTGGGTATTATCAGATGGGTTTACGGTAAAACAATGAGTAACGAAACATACTTTAAGTACATGTTATTCGTCAAGCCAAATTATTGTACATAATTTTTCAATATTTAAAACAAACAAAAACAGTATCGCTATCTAGTGGAGTGCCAATGTGCAGGTACCCTGGAATTTATAAACTTCTAATTAATGCTGTGCCCATTCAGAGCCTACAACTTTAAATTAATGTTACTTATGACTTTTCCGTATTTCATGAATAAAAAGTATTATCGAATGAAGGCCACATGCATAATAACACACACACACACATACACACATTTAGGAAAAGAAAGACGACAATCTTTAATTAAGGAAACATTTCATTTTATGGACTTAAACACCCGTTGTATGGCATGTGGAGTATCAATTAGCCGAATAGGATTTACAGAATTCATTGTTCCATGATACCAGCGCCATCTATTAATTTTTTCGATGGTATATTTTATTTTTCCTTGCTATATTTGTTATTAAAATTATGATTCCTTCTTTACAGTATGTTAAATCTACCAAGAGGTACTTAGTATACCAGAAAATTTTGTTGGATAGACACAGAGCGATACATAAAAGTAGACAACAACTTAAAGATATAACTGATGAATGTTGGATAGAAATGTATTATAAGACGGGTTCTTGAAAATTACCTAAATCAACTGTGATCTATATTATTCCACTGTTGAAACACAAGTTCGCATTTCTAAGAAGGTGGGAGGTCTTAACAATTTAGTGTAAAACCATGTTCCCTCAGTACTTAAGCATTTTCCTTAAAACAAATAATGCATAACGTTGTTATAAATGTATAAAGTAGATGACCTTATAATCATCAATGCTTTGATTTACACGTCACGACTGTGTCAAGAAATACGTGAGAATAAACTAAAAACTGGTATGTATAAATCATTTCGCAATCCTTAACCCTCATGAGATGGCAATTTAACTTTAACACTTTTAACAGATCTATGAAACAACAGGTACAGTTAGATACACATTACAGTCTAGACGATGAAACAGAACCATTGAGTCTGAATAGAGTGAAAACACGACAGGAGTTTTGCCGAATATTCAAGCAGGACGGTAAAGATATTACACTTAAGTCCAAGATAAATACTAGAAAACGCCACCTGGTCATTCACACGCAAAATATGTTACTCCTCTGGTGTTGTTTTGTAATAACGTTTACTTAACGCTGGGTATGTCGATATAAAGATGGGTTGCTGGGGGATATATAATTTTCAGAAGTAAACAGCATTAAGCTAACTTGTTGCCAGGATCACTATGATTTCTGGCGCTGATAGCTTGAAACTAACAAACTGACTTGTCTATGCCAGTACTGTTACACTAAGTGTCATTGTACAAAGTAAAATACTATAAAACTTCTATTTCTACCGAGATTCGTTCGTATATTTCTTCATTATAGCTTTCCATAACTCGTAACTTGCAAAATAAATTAATTAAAGTTTAAATACGAAAACTAAACTCAATGAAATATCCACACTTGGTAACTAGTAGTTTCTTATAAAACAAATCTTGGATCAGGGTTCAAATAAAATTTACTTACATCACATTTCTTCAATCACCATTTCTGTGTGCCCTAAGGTACTGTTAAAAATAACTTTAAAATGTCCACCTATTTAAAAGATTTAACTATCTGCACTCACTGGGTCTTCGTGAAGAAGTTTATTAATAATGACAATAACTCTATTGCGCTAAAACCTTTAGTATCTATGATGCACGACATTACAACCTGTTTATGACTAACCTAAACAACAAACAGAATCAAGCTGATAAGTGTGTACACGAAATATGTAATATAAAACATATTATCACACCACAGATGTACATGTTACAGTAACAAGCTGGGTGTCTGATAGTTGCGCATTTACTGGCACGTGATTAGGGAGATGTAATATGTTGGCCAAATATATTACCTGATTTAAAGCAACGTTTGCACACACACACACACACCCTACATCACATTTTAAAGAGCACATTTTGGTCTAGTAGTTCCATCAATCGGTATGTCCTTTCATTCACTTTCTGTAAAACCCTAGCGTCAATAAGATTTGATATCAGAAGACTATTTCATGGTGAGGTATGGGTTAATTTGTGCGTTCTTTGTTCGCAGAAATCCCTCGAATCGTTTTTGACAAAACACCAACTACAGTATCCCAGCTTGGAACTAAGCATTCTTTGTACGTAGTGGTGAAGATAGTCTTTCTCTGCTCGAGTCCCGCAGAACATCTCTTCCGAGAGTTGACGACTGTTGAACAATTCCGCGTCTCTTGTTACGGCGAAATTTAGCTATGTCGTCTCCAAACACATCACCCGTTCGAAGAGCAGATATCAAGTCATCAAATTCTCCTTTATCTGAACTCCTATGGTGCGTACGGATTTCACTGATGCTACCATTCTTTAAGTCATTTACCGTCTTGTTGGTGATATCTTTTACACATTTTTCTCTCTTGAACTGAAATGAGAAACGTATCATATCTAACTACTTATTTGAAAATTACAATGATCTTTGACTTCATTATTCAAATGAAGTAGTTCCGGGTTAGACACTTTACAAACACTTGAATTAATGCAAAATGATATAAAAAAACAACCATTAAGCTATCATTTTGTATGAAATAAAGTAACTACAGTTTTTACTATCTTGGAACTTTCTTTTTGCCGTGGTTATGTATGTGATGAGAACAACTACAACAAAATACGACTGTCATCACTACATAGTATGGGCAATATCAAGTTGACGCTAATATTTACGCTTATGGAAGATACTGTTAGTTGAAAGTAAAATATAACAGTATACCTCCGGTTCTTGCTGAGCTCTTCTTTCTTCAAATTCTTTTTTCTTTTTCATGTTATCACATTCTTGCCGGGTCTCATTATAAGAAGTTAAGAACGAGTCAAATATAGCAAAAAACTCATCCGGCTGCATCTGTGCTGGATCTTCTCCATACAAACGAACCACTTCCTCGTACTAAGAATATTGATAAAAATTAGGCGTTGACATCTTTTACAGTAATACCATGAAATTTTCTCAAAGTGATTTTAAGAGCTTATGAGTTGAAGGAAGGAAAAACATGTCAACCATACTATACCTATTATATCCAGGGCTGACGAGGCCATTTCCTCAATACCATGGCTCATAAGTCTGTCTGGGATAAGTACGACAAGTAGTGGTCAAGGCTCAACCCATGTCATCAATTGCATTAACAAAAACGGTAATAATGTGAACTAGATTACGAAAGTGGAGTGTAGTCGTTTGTGAACTAGATTAAGCAAGCGTAGTCATTTGTGAACTAGATTAAGCAAGCGTAGTCATTTGTGAACTAGATTAAGCAAGCGTAGTGTAGTCGTTTGTGAACTAGATTAAGCAAGCGTAGTGTAGTCGTTTGTGAACTAGATTAAGCAAGTGAAGTGTAATTGTTTGTGAACTAGATTAAGCAAGTGAAGTGTAATTGTTTGTGAACTAGATTAAGCAAGTGAAGTGTAATTGCCAATTTTTATACAAGTAATTCAGAAATCGGAATTACTGTAAGAATTAATAACAATATTATTTATTATTATTATTATTTACTTGAATTAACTTTACCATCATGTAGAAGACCTGATGAACTAGCAAGCTAGTCTTCTTGTTGCCACACGATCAACGGGAGAAAACTATATTAGTGATTCTAAGAACTTTTGAATGAAAACAAAGAATAAAAGCAAGGAATTAGATAGTGATGAAAAAGTTATTCTTAAAAGTAGAACTGAACTAAAAAATGCGACACGTTTCTTTAGTTAAAATGTTTTTGCATAACTTACCCGTTGTTTCATATCCTGATAGCCATCCTCAAGTTCTGAAAACTTATATGTAGCACTGGTGATAAATTCCCTCATAACGGGGACAAATTTGTCCCCAGGTTGCTGCTCTTGTTGTGTTCGATAAAACTCCATTTCCTACAAAACAACATTAATAGTTTTTAAACACCGTAATGCAAAAATGAAATATTTTTTCAGTCTTTCTGCGAGTCCGGTGTTGAAGACTCATCAACGTAAATTAACTGTCAATTAACCGTAAATTTTGCGAATAGTTAAAAAATTCTTACATTTACGAATAAATCGGTAGAAGTGAATTATAAGTATAGGAAGAAGTATTAAGATTTAACTTCACAATGGTCAACAACTAAGACCTAAGATAGATTTTTCAAATGTTCTGCTAAGAACATTGAAAACATATGTAAATAATAAGAGAGTATAGGTAATCAGATTACAGTGAAAACATAATTCTCCCGCTCTTTTTTTAGTCTTCGTTTATGATAATCATATGTTAGTAATGCTGATATTTCTTATTTGTCTTTACTTATTTTTACTTTTCCATGCTTATTTTTATAGAAAATATAAAACATTTTGTAGAAAATGTGAATTCATTATCTAACGCTTCATACTTCTCAACGTTTCTCTTATGAAATTTGCACAGAATTAAGAGCAGCATAGAGTTCTTAGCGTCAAACGATTTTTTTCTTTTTTTTGCTGTGTACAAAACTCGTCTATGTAAAGAACTCTACATGGAAATAAAAGTCCAGAGATACAACTTTTGAGTGGATTGTTTCTTTTTATTCCATATTTAACTTAATTACAACGTTTCGACCACTTGTGTGGCCATCATCAGGTAACTGTCGTATATTGTATCCACACCAAGAACACACGTATATATACAGTAATGAGAATAGCTAACTAAGTATAATGTTAAAATTATATTACTTATAATGATTAGAATACATTGTTTCATCAATTAGGCACTTGCTCTTAACGGTATTTTCGGCTGTAAATCCAATAACAACTTCCGAGATTCGGCCAGCCAAAAAGGCTTAGGCTAGTCCTAAATACAGAGACTAGTCTAATAATGCAAACTAATCATTAAAATAACAAGCATGAAATTAAATTATAAATATTGGAAATAAGAATAGATATATTAAGTATTCTAACCAATATTGTGTGTACACATTATTGTAAAAGTTTCACTTGTTTAGACCTATGTTAATAGGGTATCTTATTAGGTAAGTGAGTTTCATTTGGTAACAATGTTTCTATCATACTTATCTTTTGTGGGAGGGGGATAATTTAAGTTATATAAAAGTTGAAGCTATTAAGCACTTATTGGTTTCGCATAAAATATTTTCACCATCAAACATAACAGAAAATATACTCGTGCTTAGACCTGTTGTCAGCACAGCACTTATGGTAAATAGTTAACTAACTTCTAACCCAGACCCGCCTTATGTGAAGGCTGTTACTGAACTGTTAATTAGAGTTAGCATGTATTATTTTATCAACAGTGTGATTTGAGAGAAGGATTGTTTGTTTGTAATTAAGCACAAAGCTACACAATGAGCTACTTGTGCTCTGCTCACCATGGGTATGGAAACCCGGTTTCTAGCGTTGTAAGTCCGCAGACATACCGCTGTGCCGCTGGGGGGCTTGAGATAAGGAACCAAAAATCTATGTTTCTGAAATTATAAATTTTGCTAAAATATGATCTAATAAAAATGCATTTCCTGGCAATTATCTAGACAGTGAATCAATGTCAGTATTATTTTTTTGAAACTTTTCATACATGTTTAAAAATTGTGATTAGTTACTTTACTGAAAAAACAAATCATTTGTTCTGTATATTGAGATTAATTTACAAAATGTGTTAGTACATTGATTATTGAAATAAACATGAAACGTGTAAAATAGTATTTAATGTGTAGTAGTTTCGAAAGCGTTCATTAAAATTGAATGACAATTTACAAATTTAATTTATTCATTACTGTGGATTAACAGATATGGAAGAAAAAAACGCAGATATAATGCCAAGTTTTATGAGACATGAACAGCGATGCTATGAACTTGGGTTTTGGACACTTTGAAAATTTTTAGTGTAGAAAATAATTAAGATATAAACTTTATTAGAAAAGAATGTTCTGAAACCCATTGAAGTAAGAATACCCAGTGTCACAAATACGTGTAAGTATTTGTCTTCTTTTCATTTTGGTATTCACTATTTTTAGAAGTGTAATGTTTTGTTGTTGTTCAAATAATTTGACCGATATGACGGTTAAAATATCTAATTTACACTAGGTTTAAATAACGATATACGAAAAAACTTTTACTAAAACAATACTGTTGTATAACAACGAGAGCATAAACATCATTTTTTCTTGTTTCCATGGAAATTTTAAGGTATGGAAGAAAGTCCATCTTGAAGAAGCCACATCTACGTGCTATATAAACCAATACTTAGCAAAGTTTTATTGGATTTCACATTTTACTGTTCATATGAAAGGACATTTTTAAGCCTTATCTTGAATAAGGTTACTTTTTGAACCTTTTTAAAAAAGTAAATTTCAAGAAATACGTGGCATCTTAGTGTGTTGTAAACACAATAAACAAAACAAAGTTCTTAACCTCACCAGATGAGCAGTGTAGTGGGAGCCCCAAAGTTCTTAACACCACCAAATCATCGGTGTAGTGGGAGCTCCAAAGTTCTTAACACCACCAGATCAGCAGTGTAGTGGGAACCCCATAGTTCTTAACACCACCAGATCAGCAGTGTAGTGGGAACCCCATAGTTCTTAACACCACCAGATCAGCAGTGTAGTGGGAGCCCCAAAGTTCTTCACACCACCAGATCAGCTGTGTAGTGTGAGCCCCAAAGTTCTTAACACCCACCTCGGTGTGTTTGATGATTTTAAAAGGAGATTAACAGTTTTGGTTTGAAATTTTACTTAAAAATTTAATACTTTTGTTCACACCAGTAAAACAAACCTACAGTCGTATTCGTTTTTTGTAATATTAGGTTATGTAAAGTTCTTACATACCTTGATTGCTTCATTGTCCTTATTAAAATAAAAACAACAACTTATATATCGTTGAATTGAAGCAAAATATATTAAAACCTCTTCATTTGTCAAGTAAGACTATTACTTATATAAGTACATTATGAAGCCCGAAATTATACATAAGTGAAATTATACATATATACTTTTTACTATAAAGCGTTTTGCATCCCAGGTCGTAGACTTTTACCGACAAAATCACAGACTTTTTTACATTGTAGAATAAGATAATAACAAACCGACATAAGATACTGTCAAGCCACTTTTGTACTCGTAAAAAAAAAGTTAATTTTTAACTTTCAATTATAGATTTAATGGCCATATTACAATCTTCATAAACATCCATTAACTTTCACTGTTGCTAAATTATTAATACTTTGATTACTCAATGTACATTTACAGTAATCACTCAAGTAAGTCATAAACATACCCATAACTTAATTATTTCGAGACAGATATATTAGATAATTATGACATTTTACCTTCTGAATTTCTTGAAGGCCCATCCTCAAAGCTTGTATTTCCTTGGATAATTCAGTCATGCTGTTTTCAATAAACAATAATTCATTACAATTAACCATATTTCAGTATCATGTAGCTGTTTGTTTGTTTTTGAATTTCGCGCAAAGCTACACGAGGGCTATCTGCGCTAGCCGTCCATAATTTAGCGGTGTAAGACTAGAAGGAAGGCAGCTAGTCATCACCACCCACCGCCAAGTCTTGGGCTGCTCTTTAAACAACGAATAGTAGGATTGACCGTCACATTATAACGCCCCCACGGCTGAAAGGGCGAGCATGTTTGGTGTGACGGGGATTCGAACCAGTGACCCGCAGATTACGAGTCGAGCTCCCTAACCACTTGGCCATGCCGGGCCTGATAACAAGTGTAAACCAAATAGACTTCCCTATTACACATTTTATAATAACTGGCTTTTATGTTGGATTTCTTGGGTGAATGTAAAAAGATGTGTAGTTGGTTTGATCCTTGGATTTAACAATCCATTTTCAAAATGAGTTATTCTTTCATTGGTGTTTTTATTATTTTCTATTGATGTATTTTGCACTTCATTAATTTTGTCATTATATTCTTTCTAGAGTTCGTTGATGTCTTTTATACTTCATTTTTCGCTTCACTGATATGCATTTGTATTACATTAATGTATTTTTGTACTTCTTTGATTTTGCTGTTTTACTGCTTTTGAAAGGGCGAGCATGTTTGGTGTGATGGGGATTCGAACCCGCGACCCGCAGATTGCGAGTCGAGCGCCCTAACCACCTGGCCATGCTGGGACCCCGTAATCGGTCTTCCAAAAATATAGGGAGGTTTTCACTACATAGGGGTAATTATGACCCAAAAATTTTATAATCGTATGGTTTATGAACATTTAAATGATACAAAGGTTTGCTAAAAAATTGGAAGTTTAAATATATTGAGGTGCATAAATTTCATAAAATAAAAATTAAGAAATTCTATTAATGAATTTAATATATTAACAAAACAATAAATAAAAATATTTTAAGTAATTCAGAAATTGAGTACTTTTATGTCCTTCCCAAGATCCATAAATCAAAAGAGACTAAAATTAATCACTGTTGGAAAGTAGTGAATATATTTTATCTTTATTCGCTTTTTGAAATATCAAATTAATTTTTAAGTTTCTTATGTAATTTCACAACGTTTCATTTTTGAACAAAGGCTATAAAACATCAGTCGTAGGAATATCCTTTCTCCTGTGGTCACTTAGTTCCAATGTAAACTTTCGTGACCTTGTCTTAAGAGAGATGAAGCGTAAAATAGTTAGCACGTTGGTGTGTCGTACAATCTGGGTGCGATTGGACGAGGTAGGATTTTCCTGGCTCTGCTTTTTTCATCCACGAGACTGCACTTTCAATTATTAATCCCGGAGAAAGGATTAATTTATCTCATAATAAAAAAATTAACACTCCCTATAAAAACCTATGTATAGTGTTTCTTTTATTGTTGTACCAGTTCTTGACATTATTCTGCGTAACAGAGCAAGTACTTGTCACGAGTGTTCTTAAAGTTATATTTAGTTGCTATCTAGCGTAAATAGTTTTTGTAATTGGCTTTTCATTCCGTATAGAACAGTATATATGTATATGTTTTTTTTTTATATGTATTTTCTTTAGTAGTCGATTTGGTATATATAAGTAAGTTAGTAATCGTCTTACTGTTTAAATTGTATAGATCTGTTTGGGTATTTTCATCCACACAACTAGAAATTTGACAAATCGCACCCGGCATACAATAAATAAATAAAAAAATATATATATTAAGATCCAAAAGAATATATAGTAACAAGTAACAGTACTTACTTCACTTTTGCTGCTTGGCGAACGTGGGGAATGTCTTCCTCCAGCTTTAAAATGTCTTTAAACTGTGAAAAGATGCAACATCTAATGATAATTGTGTAACTCGGAAATACTTGTACTTAAAGGTGCCAAATATCTTTGATTATTGAATAAGTCTATATACACACTAAGACAATTTACAAGAAACAATTACTTTTAATGAGTTTTCAATTATTTTATTTCTTTTATCAAGTTTCCCTTCGGTAGTGGGGGGGGGGCGGTTCATAAAATCTTAGAGAAATTACAAGTCGAAGGTACCAGTTTTACTTGACAAATAAATCAGAGCTTATTACAGTAGGAAAGTTAGAAGTGCCAAACAAAGAATAAAAATGAAGAGTTGTTTGAAAAGTTAGCCATCCTGTAACATCAAAGCTATTATGCTTAAAAGCTAACGAGTGCTTTTCTATAATCGGTATTTAAAATAAAGTTATCGGTAATTTCGCCGTTTCCCAACCACTATCAGATAAAAACAAAATTATAAAATTAAAACATAATGATCTATTACTTTTGATTTCTGTAAGTCAAATGAAACGATGGAGAATATTTTGTCATACAGTTGTATAAGTATTTTTTTTTTTAATTTTAAGATTTTAGTTAGATCATGAGATGTTTTCATAATCTAAAACTCGGAATTACGCAGCGACATCTACACGGATATAAAATGTTGGGTGCTGTGGACATATTTTCGTTTCTATCGTTAAGCTATAACATAATTATGTTGTATAATTTTTTAATTATTACTACGAGCCGGAACAGCTTTTAAAATATTGATTGACACTTACCTTTTTTTCTAACGTTTCAATAAGGAAGTGTAGTAACGTGATATTACGGTTGGTACCGGACTTTGTGTCGCCAATCTTGTTAAGACTAACTAAACGGAAGCCCATAGCGTTCCCTCTCTGCCCCTTGTTCATGTAGTTACCGAAGGCAAGGACCACCTCAAGAAGCTTCTTTAACTTCTTGCTACGCTGTACCTCTCTGGAACCTTCTAAGACAGCTAGAAAGGTGGACAATACTGAGATTTCATTCTTAATGAGATAACATAAATGATCAGTGATATAAAACTTAAAATATAAGGAATGAGAAAACTGTCACAATTAGAAACACCAAATAAATGGTTCGTGCAGGTTTCCATCCTTATGTAACTACAATCGTCTATTAAACAGAAAGTCAAAATTTGCCAAGACTTATGAGGGGTTTTATTTAAGTTCAGTTTAATCCTATTCATAATTGGGTAATCACTGGATGAATAAATTTTCTGGGAACTAGAAAACAAAGAACTCAATAAGGACACTGCCTGTTGTGAGGAAAGTTATCGTTTCGCTTTTTTTTATCAAGATCCCTCAAGGAAGATATTAACAAACGATCACCAAGTAAAAAGGTACTAAAAATTCAACTGTGTGTTTATCTTATCTATGGAAATAGTTCAGTGGTAAACATTTTATTGAGCATTTAATTGTTACAGAAAGGAGACTTTAATCAGCATTAATTTATTCTTATTACTGAAAGGGATTTCCACAAGTATCGTTTAGTGATTAGCAAGTGCAAAATAAATTAGTGAATCAGCTAGTTACGATGTTTTATTTGGTTTAATCCTATCCCTGTTCTCCAGCAACTCGCAAGTAAAATATCGTTAAGATTAGCCGGATGCGAGAGTGACTTTATTCGGGTTTTATTCTAACCCTAAATGAGGTTCTCACTTAACAAGAGAAATATATATATATAGTGAACAACAAGCGAAACTTTACCGAGGTTTCAGATTATCATAAGACAGGCTGATTTAATTCTTCTATCCTACTGGTCGCTTCTATTTCACAATAGATTCATTTAGCGTCCATTGAATACTCCATTGAACTACAGAATTTCTAACCAATGATAATATAACTTAAAACAAAGTAAGGAAGTTAATTATTACGTTTATGGACTAGTCATATAAGATAAAACAACAAGTGGAAATAATAAATGAGCAATAAGCAAACTAACGTAATTACTATGTAACTTAAAACTACTTAATAAATGTTGTCGCATAAAATTAATGGAACCAATTAACCAATAACATAATATCATGAGGAAAACTTACTGAAATATTATTTATTCGCTACATCTTGCTTCTAATAGAATTAAAAATCCTATGTAATTTTCAAGGTACTTCTTTTTTTAAGCAACATCACTAATGCAACAAAGGTAAACCGAGTGCGTACCTTTTATTTTTGATTTGCAGTCAGTTATTCTTTCTTGAAATTTTTTCTTGTAAAGCAAAGTTTTGACTCGTTGCTCATAATGTACGACTCTAAGGAAAGACAAATACAAATGAATGTATAGGTTTGTGTAACACAAGGATTACATGTCAGTACAAAACATTCATATGAAGATGTTACTGTAATAAAAAAGGTCATATGACAAACATTTAAGGTTTCAAATTGTTCGTTCTACTGAATACACGCATACTTATCAATTTAAAATAGAAAAATATTTCAATACAGACAATATATTCTAGTCAGACGAAATAACAACAAAGTTATAATAGAATCAAAGATTTGCTTAATCTTTATCAAACTTTTTTCTTATTATGATATATGATTAAGTTTGAAAAAAAAAATAGACTATGAATAGTATTGTTTATCGAGTACAAATTCTATCAAACTCAATCTCCATTATACAATACAGCGCCTTCTTTAAGAAAACAGTTTTAAAAGACAAGATTAAAAAATAAGTCAACACAATTAAAGAGCAACACTTGCTACCACTTGTTCAGAAGCCTATGGTTGTTATATTTAGTACTTCAGGGTTATGAAAAGTAATTTTTGAGTAGGTGGGGAAGATAACACTCCCTCCACAATTTATCCTAAAAAAGCCCCATATAAGATTGTGTATAGTCTGTAAGGACCGTTGTCAGTTTTTCTGTGTAAATGTACATTTCATGAGAAGATTTCATGTTTTAAGTGTGGAACGTTGAGCATGTGATTAACAATTGCTGTATTCCCAGGTAGCATATACATAGAGATACTGATGTGTGATTACTTGTTTATTTATCTCGTAGTGTGAGTAAGTGATTTAACTATTTTTCTAGCCAATGAGGAGTCATTTCGTTCGTTTTACGGCTGAAAGAAGTATTTGAAATGAACTCATATCCTGAAGTGTTTTATGACAACACACCTTTCAAGTAGAAGTGTTTGGATGTGTGAAATGTTCGTAATTTTCATTCTAATATTGTTGACTGCTACAAGTCAAGGCTGCATGACTATCACAATCGAAGCTTGAAAAAAAAAATGACTGTGTAACTGTAAATGCTTACAGTTTTCTACGTGAAAATACACAGATAAATTATCAAACTAAAATTTTTTATCCACATAAAGTAAATGACATTTAAGTAGCTTTTAATATCTCTTACGATTGAAAATCATTAATAAAAACTTGCAATTATGCAAGTACTTTGACCAAGCGTAGTCTAGTGATTAGCTTGTTTGGCTATGGATCGTAATGTCCAAAGTTCAAGTCGCGAGACCACTGAACAAGCTCCACACTTTCATCTGCGTATACGTTACAGCAATGTATTACTGTTTTTTGACTGTTATAACAGTTATTAGATTAAAGACAGAAAAAGCTCCTGTGGCGGTGGGTGCTTCTTATTTATTGCCCATTTATGCATATAGGTGCTTTTAAAACTGAATAATACCAATTTATGTACATTGCATCTGTTTTAAGATAACATTCACCAATGAAAATCACAGAACACAATCAGTTAGTTAACTTCTCCTAACTGGTATATCCACAGGTATTATTATCCAAATCTGAGGGCGTAACATAGCATCTGTGTTATATGTATTTTTTCAACGAGTGTTGGGCGTTTTTGTTCATCCTCGTTTTGGTTCTTTAATCGTGTGAAGTTGTCAAAAATGTATTCAAATTAATTGAGTTTAATTCCACTTGATAGCATTGGTCGAGTGCAGTTTATTCTATTTTGTTTATCTTTCAATACTGAATCTTTTTTTTTTTTAGTTGTAAAACGTTTTTATTGTTTAAAAGGTACATATTTTCAGTCTTATACAGAAAGAAATAATTCAATTTCCCTCTGTTTACATTTTATTTTGTAAATGATAACTTTATTGTCCAGAAACTTACACTGGTAGCGAGTGCTGTATTCAGCTGATCTTGATGGGGGCTTTGTTATCCAACGTCAGAAAATGTATTTAAAATTTCAAACCAAACTTCCAAAACTACACCTGAAAAAGACCCGACTTGCAAATCCAGTTGCAAAGCTAAATAGTCTCAAACCCTTGGCTGCTATGAAATAGTATAAGCGTATGTTTATAAATAAGACTTACACCATACATACCTACTTATTTCATATAAAAATCGATCTGCCCTAGCCATGCTTTCTATTTCTGTTCTGTGTTCTTCTAATAAAGCTTTTTCTTCTGGGTTAGGTGTGAACTTCAACAGCTGCAATGAAACAAAAAAAAACTGACAGATTTATTCATGTTAGATTAATTACTTATAGTTTGTTTCAAATCTGTACACTGAATTGCAGACTGTTTTTGATAATCAGAAATATCCATTATTACTGCCAGAGATGTGAATTTCAACAGCTGCAATGAAATAAGAAAAACTGACAAATTTATTCATGTTAGATTAATTTCTTATAGTTTGTTTCAAGTCTGGAAACTCAGTTGCAGACAGTTTTTGATAATCAGAAATATTCTTTATTACTGCCAGAGGTGTGAACTTCACCAGCTGCAATGAAACAAAACAAAACAAAACAAAAAAAAACTGACAGATTTATTCGTGTTAGATTAATTTCTTATAGTTTGTTTCAAGTCTGTAAATTCAATTGCAGACTGTACTTGATAATCATAAATATTCATTATTACTGGAGTTGTTCTACTACCGTTTACCATCATTACTGGAGCTGTTCTACTACTGTTTACCATCATTACTGGAGCTGTTTACCATCATTACTGGAGCTGTTTCCCATCATTACTGGAGCTGTTCTACTACCGTTTCCCATCATTACTGGAGTTGTTCTACTACTGTTTACCATTATTACTGGAGCT